TTTCGTACATAAATGGTAATTCAAACACACAACCAATTCTCCACTGCACAGCCAAAGTAACAGCAAAGCTGAGTCCGCAGTCAAAATTGCAAAGAAGCTAATCAAAAAAGCTAAACGAAACAACAGAGATATACAATTAGCTTTACTCGAATGGAGAAATACCCTCGATGTGAATGGTTCAAGCCCAGTACAGAAACTAATGTCCAGAAGAACTAGAACCAGAATTCCTACAGCTTTACTTAAACCACAAATAGTAGACGGGGTTCCAGAAAATATCAAAATCAAAAGGCAAAAGTCAAAGGCAGTTTATGACACAAACACGCTAAACCTTTACCAGCGTTAGTTATAGGCGACTCAATAAGATTACAACCACTGAGGTCTAAACAGTCATGGAAACAAGGCTCATGTGTGGCAAAGGTTGGTCCACGTTCCTACTTAATTGAATCAGAAGATGGTCAGTTGTATAGAAGAAACCGGAAATTCATACGCTTAGATCAGAGTGACAAGAAACCACCACTACAAAGTGAGATTTCACCTGAGCCAGTACAAATAGAGCCACCTTCAGTGTCAGTCATCGATCCAAACAATCCGTCACAGCAAACAGAATCTACAACTATACAATGCTCACCAGTTAAACAAACAACTACACGTAGTGGGAGACAAAGTAAGATCGTTACAAAGATTACGTCATGAACATGTAGCTAGTTAGTGAGCTGGTACAGACACACTTGGGTAAGAATAATTCCCAGTCTGACCAGTATATGGATTTTTTAAGGGGCAGTCCACCCCTTATCCATTTTAAGTAGATTAGTCAGGTCAGTTATGTTTATCAATTTGAGAAATCAAGTTTTTTCATTGTTGTAAAGGGAGATGTTCGTAGGATACTTTTAGATTACATCATTGTTAATGTCAAAGGTCACTTGATGTAACCCACAATGCTTTAGGGCACTTGTAATAAACATGGCGTTCTCCAAGTAACACTTACTGTGTGAATCTGAGTCATTTCTTAGTTTACCGTGCCTATCAGGCATAACACTTGTCATCACAAATTCACAAAATAGTCCCGTTTATAGTCTGCACTTTCCTTCAGAAAATTAGAACAAAAATAGCCAAATTTGTTCAGAAAAACTGAAAATTGACTACAATTTTGTCTGTTGGCTCCAAAATTAGGGTTCATATCCAGAAATATTGAAAAATATAAAGAAAAAAAGTGCAGCAAAATGTAGGCGACAAAGTCTGGTGGTGAAAAGATTAAGTGTCAAGAATCTAACTATCCAAACATAGACGGTGCTGAAACAAATCAACCATTTCTATACAAAACAATCAAATAACAACAGACAGGAAGTCTGCAATTATTGTCTTGTTTTGCGTCTATTTTGAGCGGAAAAATGCAAAAACACGTATTTTCAGGGAATACTGTACGCATCTGTATATTCTCTGATATTGAGAAACAGCAGAAAGTTCCATGAAATGTTACAATTCGAACTAACCTAAAATGAAATCAAGTCACCTCGACCCCTATCCTGTTCGACCCTAGACACTTCGACCCCAAGTTAGACACCTCGACCCCTAGTCACTTTGACCCCCGGAGTTATACACTGTGTGTCACTTCGACCCGAGAATTATGCAACACTGTACGACAATATCACACTTTCCCTGAGTGTGTCGGCCACACGGTGACTAGTTAATGTTCGTTGCTTGTCGATTTTTGTTCATTCTATCGCACGCAGCTGCAAAATGACGCCATCTTGGACTGAACCATTGTACTTGATCGTCGACACCCTATTATCCTGCTAATGAGGTGTTGCCGACGCACATATTTTTTTACTAAGTAATACTTCAATGAGGTGATGCCAAAACCAGTTGTTACTAATAATGACACTTAATAAAAGGTGTGATAAAAGTAATTATTAAAACGAAAGTCTTAACAAGTTATTTTATTTTGTAGGCATTCAAGCTTATATTTATAAAGATCTTTGTTAAAACATTTGGAGAGACCTGTGTTATGTCTGCTTGTCGATTTCCCATGTTTATTTCACAGGCAGGCAACCTCAGAATTGACAGTATACAGCATTAAAGTGGATTAAAGAGTGTGTACCCTTCATTCAAGATCAGTAATTGAGTATTTGTATAGTTTAAAATAAAACAAATATACATTTAGAATTGTTTCATACTATTTATATGAATATAATTTTTGTAGAGATTTGTGTTTTTTAGTTTTGTACTATAAACTCAACTGCTGAGTAAGCAGTGTGTTTGGTTGGTATGGTATATCTTATTTTGGAGGATGTTGTGGCCCTGAAAAGGGCCGTTTTGTTTGTGTACTAAGTACAAGTATTTAAGACTTGGGTCCATAAATCTTGCTGCATTCCACCAGGAGTCTGGTGCTTGACATCTCACGGCGGTCATACTTTCCCCAGGCAATACCTCATTTGCGGGATAATAGGGTGTCGCCGATCAAGTACAATGGTTCAGCCCAAGATGGCGTCATTTTGCAGTTGCGTGCGATAGAATGAACAGAAATCAACAAGCAACGAACATTAACTAGTAAGTGAAATGAAATCGGTGGCCCACACACTCAGTGAAAGTATGATATTGTCGTACAGTGTTCTTGGATCGGAGTGACGCACAGTGTGTAACTCCGGGGGTCAAAGTGACTAGGGGGCAAGGGGTCGAGGTGTCTAACTTGGGGTCGAGGTGTCCAGGGTCGAACAGGATAGGGGTCGAGGTGACTAGAAATCCCTAAAATATATAATGTATGTATAATCACCGTCCCTCAACACCTGAGGGACGGTGGTATAATCACAGGCGCTTGGAACGTTT